CTTGCTATCACAAAACTAACGGTCTATAGAAGGAGCAGCTTTGCAGCCTTGAACTTGCTTCCGTCTGCCTTCTTGAGTGCACTGGTGAATGTTTCACGGTCCTGCGCTTGACACAGAAAAGAGGACAGATGTCCTGCTATAGCAAACACAGTGCCGCTTAATAGGACACTTATCTATGATTTCAAAAATGAGATCACTGCCCTCACAACACCTAACTTTCATTGTAGAGTAGAAAATACATGGAAATGTGACAGTCACTGAGTGTTTTAAAACAGCATCTCACTTAATTTACATACAGCCAATAACTTTGATATTGTTCCACCATTTAATTGATGAGGAAACTCAGGCTCTTAGAGGTTAAGTACTTTGCCCAGTGTCACTAAGCAAATAACTTGTAGAGCTGGCATTTGAACTAGTGCTGTGGGACAGCACTAGAAAATCCTGTTGAAGTATTTTAAGCCACGTGGCAAGACTGAAGAATGCAGCTAATGGTGACCGATGGGATAGCTCTTTCTAAACAAAAGTGGCCCTGAAGGGAGGATGTCTGTAAGCTTTGCGACTAGCAAAACATTATTTAGTCAGGTAGGGACATGTACTTTTTAAGGCTCACGCCAGGCTAACACCATGCAAAGGGAAGTCGGGGCCCATGATTTGTCCACCAAACATGTGAGCTGTGCATCTGAGACTAGACCCCACCTTCTTTTCCCCATCGATCAGACTCCTCTGTCGTCTATGGCTACAGATGGACACATCTCCTAGGAGGATCTCAGCTCAGTTTTTGGAGTTCAAAGTGTTGTGGGGAAAGGAATAGAAAGGTTACTCCAATGAAGATAACGTTAAAACCCATCACTTCTTCACCGTCTCTCTGGGCTTTTCAACCTCAGACAAAGACTAGATTGCCATGACAGCGCTTGTTCTTTTATTATGGTCTGTTCTCTCCAAGTGTTTGTAAATTAATTTGCTGATGATCTTTCCTTAATGTACTGCCCCTGGGCCGTGTACCTAATGAAATCACTTGCGTAATAATAGGATTTCAGTTGTCTGGAGGCAGGAGTGGAACAATAGGAAGAGCGCTTGAGCAATCATTTGTAATTACATTTGAAACATTTATTTAAAAAATGTGTATAAATCGTTCTGCTGGAACTCTAATGACAGAGGTGGTCATTCTGTTCTGTAACTTCTCATTTGTTGCTTCTTGGAGTTTTATGTATGAAATACATTAAGCCGGGCACAGATATTTTATACGCCCCTGGGGGGTTGCGGCGTTAAAAGCTATTTGGATATCCAAGCCAGCATTACCTTTTGAGATAAATATAGGCTCAGCCTAACTCAGTTTTATAATTTATATCCTGTTCTCAGAACTTAGGACACTGAAAATGAACACATAAAGTCATTTTATTTTTTCTTGTCTATGTCAAGGCTGGGTTGAGGTTAGCTCTTTAGTTATGGGAGAATGATATAAACAGATTTGCCCCTGTTTACTGGACCATAACAGGCAAATTTCTTTGGAAAATCTAGAGTAACTTTAATTCTCCAAATGATTATCAGGATGTTTCAAAAACAATTTACATTTCCTTCATTCCAAACGGGTAACCAGTGGCCATAAATCCAGAAACATTTTGTTGGAGTCACTGCAGCACCTGTTTTATATTTATTTTCTTGACCATTTGAAATATTCTTTTGTAGTCTTTTAACTCTCCAGTTGCAATCTAGTATCTCTGGGAGGGTGGGTGATGGAAAGGAGTCTCAGGGTCTGAGATAAGAGGCCAGGCTGGGATTTGTGTCTTTGGGGTAGGTAGGTCTGTGCCTATTGGCACTAATAAGAGCTTGGATTTGAGTCACCTCTGACTGTATGCTAGGAACAGTGCCAGTCATTTTCCATGAATTATTTCAATGGTCCAATGAGCCAGTGTTATTTCTAGCCTCACTTCACAAATAAGACTTGTAAAGAGCCTATGTAATTTCTCAAGGTCACACAACTAGGAAACAGCAGAGCTGGTAATCCAAACCCGCTTCAACCATCTGACTTCAAAACCCAAACCTGTAGCCACACAACTATTATAAATCATGGAGCCCTTCTGAGCCACAGGTTCCTCATCTGTATACTTTGGAGGATGACTCAGGTAGTCAATAAATTAGTTTCCAGCTCTGAATTTTTTGAGTTTCAATCTAGCCAAGAAAACAGATGCAGGAACTTATGTTTGCTATATATTTTAGCCTCAAAGTGGCTAAAAGCATCCTCCAAAAACATTTATGCCAAAAACATTGCAAATAGCTAAACAGCCTGCAAGGAGGTAATTGTCAACCAGTACCAGCTGTGAAAGCTTTTCAGCATTTCAACAACCCTTGGGGGTGTTTTTTAAGAGCAATAAACTAAGTGGCTAAGTGTGTTGCCCATGGAGCTGAGACACAAATCTGGACCCCTGAGAATTTACTGTGTTTTCAGGGTCTGATACATTCTGTATCTGAGGCCATTCTGTATCTCCAATACAGACAAACACGATCTTAATTAATGAACCTTGGAGACATTAAGGATAATTTTTTGGTCTTGATCTATGAATTAAGAACACCTTCCCCAGAGCTCCACTTGGTTTCTTTGACATTCGATCTCCAAGCTGCCACCTGTCCCGCCTTGTCTCATTCACTGGAAGGTTTTAATTTGGTCTTCAATGCTATAGACATGGCATTCCTTTGGAAAATAAAATGAGCAGATGTTAGAAGAACAAAATATGTATAGATGAAAATGTTTGCTATGGTAAAGTCATTCTTCTTTCCAAGCCTTTCATCAATCCTTTCCTACTGTGATAAGCCATGGGACTTATTTAAAAAAAAAAAAAAAGCAGTGACTTGTCCAGTTATAATGCTAATAAGAGTCATTGATACTTCTTAATGGGAACCCAGAATTTATGTTGAAAAGTGACCTCATTCTTCCTTCACTACTTAGTTAAAAGGCAGTCTGGCTTTACTCATGATGCTACAGCATTGAAGCCAACATAGCCAAGGATGTATAGCAGCAGCTACCAGAAAAATCAATCATGCTGATTGCTTGGCATTCTGATGATAAAGCAATCAGTGGATGGGCTGAGTATTCTGCTTTTCTACTGGTGTTGTAGTGCAACTACCATCCCTGTCTAGGTCTCTAATATAGAGGCTCTCGAAATTCAGTCCCCACGCCCCCAGCCTCAGCATCACCTGGAAACTTGTTACAAATGCGGATTTTCTGCTCCTAGTTCAGGGCTACGGAATTAGAAATTCTGGGGGGCGGGACCCAGCAATTTGTGTTCTTAGGAGCCCTTCGGATGAGTCTGATGCTCTCCAACATTTGAGAACCACTGTGGCATCAACCAAATAGTTCAAAAAGAGTTCAGTCACAATAATGAATTGTCATCACAGAATAACACAAAGCTGCAGCCAATTATTAGATTAAATTCTTTAAAAATACGTATAAGAAAATTCAGTTTACAAAAAAGCTCCAAAAAACCGGAAAACAAAAACAAAAAAACAACCCAAAACAGATCCTGAGAAAACTGGATTCAGTAATGTTGTCTTTGTTTTCAATATACTCCATTTTGTTTTCTTTTCCCCCCAACTTTTTTTGAAGTCTGTGAAAACTCCATATGAATCGAGTTCTGCTTATTGAACTCAGAGACTGCATACATACCGTAGCAACTATTTTCTTCGATTCAGTTGTGAATAACCATTGTACATTTGTCTCTTTTTAGGTCAGACCAACCAGTGCTTTAAAATTCTTACTGCCCTTGCAAATCATGCCAATTCTAACTGAAGACTCCTTTGGGTTTACAGTCCATACTGGTATCAATGAAAATTTGGAATGTTTTAGGTGTGATTTATATAGCTTTTCCTAGTGGTTTAGGAAAACCATCCAGCTACTACAAGCTGCAGGAAGTGTTATACAGATGTCTCTGAGTTGGAAGAAAAACTAGAACAAGCAAGTTCTTGAAGTGCACATTTTTAACATTTAACATTTTTAAAATTTAAGACAGAGGAAAAACATCAAATGTCTTCATCGTAAATTTAACATGTTAATAAACTACTCATTTTGTGAATCAAATAGTTTCAACATGTAGAAGTATTTGAGGATGTGGATTAAAAGTAAAATTGATGATATATAAATATGAGTATTTATTTTGATTCAGTCCTCTGAGGTTGAATGAGTATGTACTAACCAGGACTCCTCCTTTACTTTTAAGCTTGAACTTGCCTGTTTTCTGTGATAAGAGCACCACCTATAGTACACACTAGGAATTCCCTTTAAACCAAATGATTTCTGCAAATAGGCTTTCAGGGCACTAATGTCCTTCCTTAAGCAAGTCAGAATTCTTAATAGCAATAGAATTTAAAGGAGAGAACAAAGATTTTCACATTCTAATATTATATATAAAGGTCAAGTTTTCTAGTCAGAGTGTTATTTAAACCTTTCATTTCCATATGATTAACCTCTATGTTGTGAGGATGGTTATACCATGATCATATCATAGGGGATTGTATATAGACACTCATAATTATTTCTTTAGACTGTAATTGCATTGCCAACCTTTTTACATCAATTTGATTAACCTAGAAACATTAAATTTTCTTTGTAAATCAGGTAGTTAACTAAAAGAATGACAAAAACTAACTTACCTCTTTCCATTAATTTTGTGACTCAATTTCAAATTTTGGCATATTTTGACATTAAATGGCATAGAATTAAATAGGGGATTGGTAAGTATTTTATTTCTGAGGAGCTACATAAGGAAATGAATATAATTCTCCAACTGAAACATCTATTTTGGGTCTGAATAGTGGCTTTTGCCTGCAAAGAGGCTTTTCGGTCCCCAGAGAATTGCTCCAGACTACTTTAAGACGTTGCTCAATGAATGAAGATAGAATTTTATTTTCTAGGGTCAACAGTTTCTTTTTATAAGTAGAACTTATATGATAAAATACTCTTTGCACAATAAAATCTGACTTTTCTCCAATTATTTTATTTTGTTTAGCTTATCCAACAAAAGTATTAACATATACATTAACAACGTCGAAAGTAGCCTACTTTAAGAGAAAATATGCAGAAGAAGAAGATTTACATCAAGATTACCATGGGTATTTTCCAAAAGTAAGGGTTTACTTATGACTATCTTTTCTTTTTTTATGAGTCTTGTCAAAAGTGAAAGCTCTGGTTTTCATTTTCTAAAACGTAGATCTGATGTATTTGCTTTCCAGCACCTGATATTGCCTGAGGACAGGACTTGCATTCTCAAACTTTCTCTGGAGAAGCTCAGGTTTCTTGAAGACCCAGAAACCTACTTAAGAAGGTCTGTGTTAATTAACAATTTGCTGAGGAAGATACATCTAGAGACGGAGAAAGAGAGCTATGAATACTTTAAAGAAGCTCCCTGTTATAAGACTGCTTATTCTGATACAAGAAAACGGCTGAAGTTCATGGTACAGGAATGCTGTTCTCAGTCTCTTTATTATGAAGAGCTGCATTCATATCATATTGTGCCTTATGCTTCGGAGAATGCCATTTATGGAATGGGCTACACTAGCAGCCATTTGGAGCAGAATTCTCAGTTGCTTATTTATAAAATGAATTAAAGTAACCGTTAAGTTCATTGATACTTTGTTTCTAAATGCCTGAACTGTTTATAGTGAAGATGTTAAAATAAGGCACTAATTACCAGTGCACTTGAGATCAAAGATGACATGCATGCTGAACTGAGTGGAGAGAACCCTGGTTATTACTCAGCGGTCCTTAGTATCATCCACATTGAAAATATGTCCACATACTATAAAGCAGCAAATAAGTGCTTTACAGGCAAAGGTTTTTATGCTCTTTTTAAGATAAGATGATGTGCACAAGGAGACCTAGGTTAAGTTCTTCTACCGATTTAAACTTTTAAGCCCCCTGTTTCCAAATTCTGCCACTCTTAGTGGCAAATAACAAAAAGTGACATTGAACTGATAATGTGGTGTCCTTAAATATTAAGTGTGGAACAAATTTTGTTTTCTGTAAACAATGAGGGGAAGATAGGTTCTTTCTGAAAAAGCTTTGGCTTGTCAAACATTGCGCCAAATAATTGTTTGACACCATTTTCGTCTTACCGTTAGTGGCAATTCAAGATGGGGCAAACATATTGCAACTTAACTGCTGAATGTAACAACCAGATTACTCCAAACTGATCCATTTTATTTTATTTTATTTTTGGCTTGATAGACATTTCTCTTAAAAGTAAAATTTAATAGAATGAGCCTTGCAGATAAGCCTTATCTGTAAGCTCTAGAGGTCAGTTAAAGTTTGTGGTGGGCCTTCAGTTAAGAGTTTACATTTTATTTATAATGTCATTTTTACAGGCTGTGAAGCTCAGGAAAAGGGTAGGCAGGTCAAATTTGTTTTTAATAGGTTGATAATTTTAAAAAGTCTTATCTGCAAAAATTGGTGAAAACAACAGAAGTTCTACATGATGTTATTTCTTCATCAAAGAGTACATTTAGGGTTGCCTAGATGAAACTTTGCACTGATTTTTGTACAGTAGTTGACCATTCACTATTTGACAAAATGTTTCAGAATGCTTTTGGTGGTGAAGTTTAGATAAGTCCCTATATTTTGCAATTTGAAAGATAATTATTTAACAAGTTGGATTGATTCCTGAGATTATTTGAAGTGGTTCCTAATGTTCTTTGAGGTTTGAGTGAGATGTCTGATTTCAGTGTCTGAAGTTATGTTCTATGGAGCATATCATTTAAAGAATTGTCATTAACCGATAAAACAGATTGGGAAAACTAGGTGCCAAAGGTATATTCAAGAAAATACCAAAGACCCAAGATGAGTATTAGAGAGACTATGATAATGAAGATAAGAATCTAAAATAAGGATCGCACAGGACATAGAAGAACATTGTTAAAGGGTTTTGGAAACAATTTGCTTACTAATGTACTTTCAGAAAAATCAAGGACACTGTTTTACGTGAAGGTATTACAGGACTTTGGCAATCATATACTTTCACAAATCTAAATATGGTGATTGTCAACATTGTACCTTCCCTAGTTGAATGCCATCTTGTGACCAGGAAGTCTTTTTTTTTTAATTCAAGAGAATATTGTTTTTAGTTCCAATTCACTATTTGTTCCCTTTACTGAATCATCAGGTGAGTCATGTGGATGTTTTTGGTATAAATATTGGTGCCCTAATTAGCATGTGTTGTTGTTGAAGATTATATAGATCTATAATTGATAAAAGTACCAGGTTTGTGCTTAGTTGCTCAATCAGAATTATTAAAAAATACTTTAGAACAAATGGAAAAAATTATAACTGGGGCTAATTTTTAAAGGCAATTTTGTTTGAATGGTGAGATAGCTTTGAAAGAAATATAAATATTTAAAAATTAATTTAAGGGCAAAATTTGGCACCAAAGTCAAAAACTTTGTTTCACTGCTATAAAATATCTTATTTTAAGAACACTTCTTTTAAAAGGTAGATTTCTTAAACAATGAGGGTATTAATTGAATAGATTCCAAATTAGATAGGATAATTATACTACATATAATTTTAAAATAGAATTAGTTCTCTAATAGTTTTAACTTATTTTTTTTTAACTGAGAGAAACACCTGGTTTGGTTTAAGACAATATCTGTAAGAAAAACACACCAGTGCAAACTGATACAACTTACAAAACTGCCATACATTGAAATTGTTAGAGGATAGAAATGTAACTTTGGAATAGAAGAGAGAGGGAGAGAAAAATTACCAAGAAAGTATGAAATTATAATGGGTATGTCAGAAATCTTAGAGTAACAACTCTTGGGAAGTGAACCAGAAACAGAGGTAAAGTCTGTTTTATTTGATGATGTCATTAACTGAGCTCTCTGAGCTATATATACATATGTAGAGAAGGAACTGTCTTAGAAACCAGTGGTATTTGTGAATATGCTTTTCTTTAAAAAAAAAAAAAGATTTCAAACCAAGTTATTTAAAAATATCTTTAAAAGCATTTAATTTCTTTTCCAATAAGCAATTCATAGGTAAGGAGTGGACTAATGTTATCTTGACTTTTTAAAAAACAGTAATTTGTATTTAAATGATGTAAACTTCTCTGAATCAGTAAGATTGCTGTCATTCTACTGTGGCAAACTGATACATAGAAGGACTCCATATAGACCTGTTTTGCTGATCCCATCCCACATGCTCTATTAGGGGAGAAGCAAAAGGTAGGAGACCAGTTACAACTTTCGTGAATGTGGACATTTTTTCTTTGGTAACAAAAGCCATCAGAGTAAGAAAGACAGGATGGGAAGTCTGAATGCCTTTGGTAATCTTGATCACTCTTATGGGTCCTCAGCCTGAAGGCCTAGTAAAGAAGAAATTTTTAAAAAGAGATAAGAGGAAAATGAAGAGACAAGGAAGGAAAAAATGTGTTGGAGGGGTGCAGACAAATTAAAAACAGTATTAGGAAGTGAAAGAGAAAGCTTTTTCATTGTGAGGGCAGATTGCTTACTTGCTACGCTTTTTGACTTTCCGTGTCTACTGTACACCCCCAAACCTGATATCCATAACCTACTGATATTTTCTTTCATTCATCAATGATGCATAAGACCAGATTTTATCCAATATATGTATTATTTGAAATGTGATGTTATTGTGACATCCCCAAAAGTGAACTCCCTGGCTAGATGAATAAAGGAAAAAAAAATAGAAATTAATTAAGTTAGGAGAAAGACTTAATGGTCTAATATAAATGGATAAGCTCAAACATATGATCAGATTTCAATGTACAATCCAAGATTTAATAATTCAGTGCTAGAGGAGTTGGAATAATTTGCCATCATTTATTAAGCAACCACTATGAGACAAAAACTGTGCCAGGGTTGGGGATACAGAGGTGAATGATACACAGTCCCTTTGCTCAAGCAGTTCACTGATGAGAGAGGAAATCAAAGATGTTTGGTTTTGTTTTTAAAGTATTGAGAGTAGTACCTCATTTTTCTTTTCTAAACTATGGGATGGTTATCAAACATGTTTCTCTAAAAGTGTTTATAGCTAAGAAGATGCACAAGAAGGGAAGGTCTACCAGCCTTGATCTTAGAAGGAAAGCAATGTACATTCTGCTTTGCAACATATTTTCTACTTGGAAGCATAACAGAAAGCCACTATTGTAGACAGCAAGTGTGGCTGGCTTTAGCTCATTCCTGGGGCACAGAGATTGTAGGGGAGATAGGGTGACAAGTGTAAGTACAGAAGAATTCCTTCTCTCCCAATTCTCCAGCTTTCATGTTCATTTGTAGGGGAAATCAGGCTAATACTAATGTGGAGGAGAGCCTTGAAGGAGGCGCAAAATCAGGAAATCACAGCGTTTGAGCTGTATATAGTGTGGTCAAGGTTAGAAGGACAACTTTCTTTAATTTGCCTTGTGTAGTGAGCTGCTTGAATGAACCTAGGGATTTCTTTACATCAGCTCTGGAACCAGCTCTTCCTTCCCCCCGCTCTGAATCATAGCCCAACCCCAGACCTTGTAGTCCGCTGTAAGTGGAGGTTTTGGTTCTAATTCTTCACCTTCCTACTTCCCCCAGCATTGATATTGAATTGCTCAAAGATACTTGGAAGAAAACAACAATTTGCAGTACTGGTTGAATTCCCCTTTGACAAAGGGTTTCCAAAGTGTGTCAGAGTAGAATTCATCAGTTTTTGATATAATTCTTTTAAAACTATTGTTAATAGTCATTAAATAATTGACTACTAAGGTAATCTTCACATTTCTAGAGTTCAATGTAATATTATCACTTGTGTATGTTTGCTGAAGAAAATACCTTAGATTGGAAACAATGAAAGATTACATACAATTAATACAAGCAGCTCATGATTATTATTTAATATAGAATTTTAATTTACATTTTCCCATTCTCAAACTTCATTTTATACATCAGCAATGTGACATGTTCCAGGTGTTTTGTTTTTTGTTATTAAGTGGATCATGTCTAAAAGTTGTTACATTCATGGTTGAACACTTTGAACAAAATTTTCCTATTAGCATAGTTCTATCTTTCCCCAGGAATTATTCTATAGTTGGGTAGATAAAGAACATTCCTCTACATTAACACTTCTCAAAACTTCTTGTGCATATGAGTCACTGGAGAACTTGTCAAAATACAAATTCCTTTTAGTAGGTCTGGGATGGGGCCTGGGAATATGCATTTCTCACATCTCTTAGGTGATGTGGGTGCTGTAGTCTACCAACCACACTTTGGGTAAGAAAGCTCTCAATCATTTTGAAAATCTGAATATACATACAAACCTATATTCTGATTCCTTTCAAAGAATATGTGTTTGTGTCTGTTTTCTATAGAATTTTTGAATCTAAAGAAATGAAAGATAAAGTTTCCAAATTGGCCACAAATATTATAATATTTTATATACCAAAATACATACAAAATGATTTCTCATACAAATTTTATCTACATCAAGGGCAAAAAAGGAACATAGATGTAGTCATGTACCATTCTTATCAGTCAGGAAATGACACATGGTAAATTTTTCTTCTAGGTTTTTTTCTCTTAATTATACCCAGATAAGTGAGCTCTATTTGTTAACCCTAGAGCAAAGGTGAAATTTTGTTCATAGT